AATGCAGACTCCTGGACCACACTTTGGGTCAGAATCAGAGGACAGTACCTGAATCTGCACTTGAACTCTTCCAAGTGATTCCAATGCACATAAATTTGAGAACATCTTTTACTGAAACAGCCATCAGGGTACCGTGGCCTGAGGAAGCCTGGGTTCTGCACTGGGGAGGGCCCTCTGCCAGGAAGATCTCAGAGTGGCATTCTTTAGCTCTGTGCTTCATAGATGTAGGTAAAATGACTCTTTTATCCCCCCTTGCTTAGGGCTCAGACACAAGTCGAGTGGAGCTGCCTGGGACAGTCTGAGTGGCAGAATCTTCTGTCCTCCATGAGAGGGGAGAGGCTTGTTTGCAGTGTCGAGCTCACCATGCCTGTCTCTTTTCCTTCCCTCAGATTTCTTGTTCCTTTAAAAACACACAAATAAGATGTCCTCAGTCCTCAGCAGGTGACATTTTATCCCACCATCCTGTACAGAGGACACAGCTAGGCTCCCGAGATCCCCACTCATATATACGGAAGCTGAATTGAAAGGTAGATACTGTTTGGAAGAGGAGAGAACGCATTTTATTTCATTTCATTTTATTTTTAAGGAGGTAGTACATTCACATGATGCAAAAGGTACACAGAATATCTTGTGAAAAGCTCCTTCCCGACTGTCCCCAGCTTTCCAAGTTCACCTCCATGTAGGCAAGTAAAATTAGATAATATACATAAGTTTTATATCCCCCCAGCTTTTTAATAGGGAAATGGAAACATACGAGACTTACTGTTCTGCACTTTGCTTTTTACAATTTCCTACCAGAGCTTCCTCATTCTTGTTGCATCTGCACAGTATTCCACTGTATGACTGTATCATAGTTAAATTTTATTGGTCCTCTGCATTTAGAACTTGGGTTATTTCCAGTGCTTTGCTAGTACCAAGAAAACTACAATAGGCAACTTGTAAATCCTCATTTTGGACATGGGCAGTTCAATGTCTAAGGTCAAGAACCAGAGTGAGGTGGTAGGATCAGAGGATAAGTACATGTGTAATTTTTAAAGTTACCGAGAAGCTCCTCCCCATAAAGGTTATACAATTTTTCATTCATATGATTAATGAAAGAGAGTTCCCTTTTCTCCCTACCCTTTCATTAACAGCATGCTAAACTTCTGGATCTAGTTTGTGTGGGAAGGGGAAGGGGAAGGTCTGAGACAGCAGGTATGCCGGGAACCTTGCCAGAACCTGCTTTACAGATGGCAATAGGCATTCCATGGTGACAGAGAGCTTATCCACTTTTTTGAAGATTTTGGCTTATTTGTTTGAAATGTATTTTTTAGTGTTTTTAAATTAAAAGTAAAATTGACTTTTTATTTTTATTTTATTTTTGTTTTTATTTTTTTGAGTTGGAGTCTCACCCTGTCACCCAGGCTGGAGTGCAGTGGCACGTTCACAGCTCACGGCAGCCTGGACTCTAGGACTCAAGCAATCCTTCCACCTCAGAAGTAGCTGGGACTACTGGCATGTACCACCATAACTGGCTATTTTTTTGACTTTTTGTAGAGATGAGATCTCACTATGCTGCCCAGGTCTTGAACTTTTAGGCTCAAGCGATCCTCCTACCTCGGCCTCCCCAAGTACTAGGATTACAGGTATGAGCCACTGCGCCTGGCCAGTTTTTGGCATACAGTTCTATGAATGTTAACACATGTATAAATGTGAGTAACCCCCACCATGGTACAGAATGGTAGCATCACCCCCAAAACTACCTCAAGCCACCCTTTTGTAGTCACACCCTCTCCCCACCCCTAGATTCCTCTAGGCAACCACAGATCAATTATGTCTCTATGGTTTTATCTTTTAGAGACTATCATATAAATAGAAGCATATAGTATGTAACCCTCAGAGCTTGGCTTTTTCCGTTCAGTATAAATTCCTGGAGGTTTCATCCAAGCTGTTGCATGCATCACTAGTTTGTTGCTTTTTGTTGCTGAGAAGTATTCCGTTGTATGAATGTACCACAGTCCATTTACCCATTCACCCACTGAGTGACATTGGAGTTATTTCCAGTTTGGAGTGGTTATTAATAGAACTGCTATAAACATTCATGTACCTATTTTTGTGGGAACATAAGTTTTAATTTCTCTTCAATGTAGTTTAATGTTCATATCTTATTATGGGTAAGCTGAGGGATATTTCCATATATTTAAGAGACACTTATATTTACTTGTCTAGAAACTGCTCGTGTCCTCTATCCATTTTTCTTTTTGGTTGTTATTGATTTTTGTTTTAGAAAAATTGTTTTGGGGATGCTGACAGGATATATGGATGGAAATGTTTAGCATTCAGTTAAGAAATGCAGGACTCGAGTTTGAGAGAAATACCCAGAGACATAGATTTGAGAGTCACACTCTAGAGAATGGAGAGAGGAGGCCAGGGATCTACACAAAGTCTTCAAGAGAGAAAACACACGAGGCTTAAAGACAGAGTTTGTGGAAATGCCCATGTGTAGGGTGTGGATAGAGGAAGATCAAAAGGAAGAAAACAAGAAAGAGACCTCCTAGAGGTCACAGAGGAAGCAGAATAGTGCAGGGTTACATGAATAGAAGCTGAATGTTAAAAGTCTGCTAAATTAAGGGTTTAAATACCCAGGACACGGTGTTCAAAGGAAGAGAAAACATCTCTCTCCAAGAATTCTAAATAAAAGTGCTATGGTTCATTCTGATAGGACTGGCCTGGTCACATGATCACCCCTGCACTATTCACTGTGGGGGAAATCCAGTGCCTTGATTGGCCTACCTAGGTCACATGCTTCAACTCCATAATTTCCCAGACCCTCATGGATCCTCAAGGGAAAATGTGGGACTGTTGGTCAGAAGACATAGATGCTAACAACCAACAAATGTCTAGTAAGTGGCCTTTGAGCGTAGTGCATCATCTACATCTAGAAACTCAGCTGTTGTATATCAAGTGGAGAAATTGGAGGGAATATGCAGAAAATTCATTCAAAGAGTTTGGCTAAAATTTGGTAACCAGGAGGCTTAAATGAAGAATTTTTCTTTTTTCCAAAAGTAAAACATCAGTGTATATTTATACATGCAAGCAAAGGAACCATGGAGAGGGAGACCGTGGGGACAAGGGGAATCACGTAACACTAGTGAGGCCCTGAGAGGAGGCACGGGGCTTCCTCTGAGGAGGCAGGTAGACTCCCCCCCTCCACTCTCATTCCTCCTGCCCCATCTCCTCTCCTCACTGCATCAGGATAATTTTTAAAAAGTGAACATCTAGTCATGTTGTTACCCAATAAGAGCTACTTGAGGGGCTACACATCGCTCCCAGGATGTGGTCATATATGGAGCGGGTTGGACTTTAGGGCTCTGGATGAAGCCCTAAAAGTGGCTCCTGCCAATGTTCACTATCTCTTCTCCAGTCCCCAAAGACCATTAAAATCCACATGCTGGCCTCTCTCCCTCTTAAATAATGTAACTGTCTCTCCAACAGAATGTAAAGCCCAGCATACATGGGGATTGCATTTGCTTAGTTCACGCTGGATCCTCTAGCACTGTATCTGGCAAACAGCAGGTACTCAGACATGGCCACCGGAAGAATAGATGAATGCCCACTAATCTGTGAAATTTAGTGATTATAGCTCTTCTTCCCTCCCTTCCTCCCTTCCTTCCTCCCTCCTTTTCTCCCTCTCTCCCTCCCTCCCTCCTTCTTTCATCTCACTTTGTCACCCCAGGCTGGAGTGCAGTGGCATATTCATAGCTCACTGTAACCTTGAATTTCTGGACTTCAGTAATTCTCTCACCTCAACCTCCCGAATAGCTGGACCACAAGCATGCACCACCACACCCAGCTAATTATTTTTTGTAGAGACAGGGTCTTACTATGTTGCCCAGGCTGGTCTCAAACTCCTGGGCTCAAGCGATCCTCCTGCCTTAGCCTCCCAAAGTGCTTGGATTACAGGCATGAGCCACTGCTCTTGGCCAGTGATTATCTCTAAGTCTCATCCATTGTTTACCCAAACAGTTGTCATCTTATTAAACACTAACCAAGGGAAATAATGAGGTTATTAGAAAGAGAGAGACCAAGCCTTAGAATTCTATTATATATGAGACCCAAAAAAGAAAGAAAGAAAGAAAACATGCCAAAGAATAGACAGTACTTAACTCTGGGTGGGGGAACTATGGATCTATTAATCACATTAAGACTTCATCTTTTAATAGGTTTTGCAATGAGAAGACTAAGAGAAGAAGAACATGTGTGACATCAAGGAGTTAAGGGTCTTTTAAGCAGGGAAGGAAGGAAGGAGGCGAAGGAAAGAAACCGCTGCTCTAAAGAATGGGATTAATTAAATAAAGCATGGTACATCTGCTCAATGGAATGGTACACACACTGTTTGAAATCCTGTCTCTGAAGACAGGGTGGTAGTGCCAAGGCTGACGTGGGGGAGCTTTGTACCACCACATCCGAATGTCTCCCCAGACCATTCCTAATGAACATGTCCTCTGGGTAACAATGGGGTGCTTGCTGTGTGGGTGTGGCTTCTCAGAGGCTAGCTGCCCTCTCTAGCCAGCCTGCGGCCCAACCCCCGCCTCCCAAAAAAGGCTGGTGCCACTTCTGTGAAGACAGTGGCAATGCTTGTGATGTAAATATTGACATGAGTGTAAGATTTATATAATAATATATTACTTATGGGTAATATAGTATAATATAATACGATCTCATTTTCAGTCATGAGAGTATAGCTATTCATTAAGAAAACAAATATAGAAATCGATTCCAAAAGATAGAAAGACTGAAAGAAAATAGATGACCTAAAGAGCATGATCGTTGGGGACATTTCTTCTATTTTCATTTCAAATTGTTACAGCTCTTATGCTTTCTTTGAGCATGTACTATAAAATAAAACAATACCACAAAGTTGCATTGTAAGCACCAAACCAACCATAATGGGCTCAAAACTGAATCTGTATACAAGGAAGCACTCATGGGATCATTGTTCTTTTCTCTCCTTCTTCAAGGATGTGCTGGGCGGTGTCCTGATGACCGTGCTCCTCATCATCCTCACCTACCCTGCCTGGACCTTCATTGACTGCCTGGACTCGACCAGCCCCCTCTTCCCTGTGTGTGTCCTAGTTGTGCCATTCTTCTTGTGTTACAACTACCCGGTGTCTGATTACTATAGCCCAACCAGAGCAGACACCACCACCATTCTGGCTGCTGGGGCTGGAGTGACCATAGGATGCTGGATCAACCATTTCTTCCAGCTCGTGTCCAAGCCCTCTGAGTCTCTCCCTGTCATTCAGAATATCCCACCACTCACCACTGACATGTTAGTTCTGGGTCTGACCAAATTTACGGTGGGAATTGTGTTGATCCTCTTGGTTCGTCAACTTGTACAAAATCTCTCACTGCAAGTACTATACTCCTGGTTCAAGGTGGTCACCAGGAACAAGGAGGCCAGGCGGAGACTGGAGATTGAAGTGCCTTACAAGTTTGTTACCTATACATCCGTTGGCATCTGCGCTACAACATTTGTGCCAATGCTGCACAGGTTTTTAGGATTACTCTGAACCTCAAACAGTTGGAAACCAGTCCACTGAACATAAGAGCCAAGACATAGAAATGCTGTTGGTGGGCAAGTGTTGACAACCAATTTTTCCTTTAAAAAAAAAATCTTAAGTCATCTGTTTTGTTAATACCAGTTAAGTGATGCTGCTGTGTAAAAGGAAAAACTGTCTCATAGGAACCCTTAGTCTGTAATGGTTATGCTACAGTTGAACCCAGGCTAAAAACCATAATCAAGATCTTTAAGGACAACCCCGTCCTGCCCCTTCTTTTACACGGACTTGAAAGCTAGTCATGAACTGTCAGGAATTGTGGCCTGGCTTAGGAATGGCTGTGAGCCCCACTGGATTCTGGAGAGCCAACAAAGATGGGGTGATCTGGGAGGCTGGAGGTAGAGCATTGCTTTTCAGTTATGATCTTGCCCAGCACAGAGTCTCATTTCCAAAATGAGAACTTTGGTCCGGGAGAAAGGATGGCTCCACATAAAATGCATTCCTTGGACTGGTGATTTCCCTGTTACAATCAAATTAGAGTGCGCCTGCTTGGGAGGTAAGACCACTTAGAAGTAAAGCTTACTGTGAAGAGATTCCAGGCGAGGGCACAGCTGTGAGGTCATAGGGAAAAGCCTGCTTTCCTTATGAGTCCTGGTCTCCGTTAGGTGTTCTTATTGAGAGAAGGATCTGCTTGTCCTTGTTTATACATTTTGTGGGATTCCAGGTACCATTTCTGCACTCTTCTGACCCATGAAACTGGCTGCTCCCACGGCACAAGGCAGGTGAGGGGTTCGCCTTCATCACAAGTGGGTGAATCTGAGATTTACCGAGATTTCTGCTTCCTAGTAGCTTGGGACAAGCCCTCTGCCCATCTTCTGCTTTGTTTTTTATTTTTGTGTGTGTGTTGGTTTTTGTTTTGTTTTGGTTTTGGTTTTTTTTTTTTTTTTTTGGCTTCTATATGAACTCGGAAGGCTCTGACTTCTTCCTAGGAAAGTAAATAAAAAGAAGAACGAATGAACTTCCTGAAGCCTGACAAGAGGAGACAGGACCATCTGACTTTATTCTTCTGTTTCTTTCTGTAAATCCGTTTTCTCATCTACTAAATAAAATCAGCCTCCTTTTCTGTCTTCCCACCTCTTATGTCTTGGCAATTCAAAGGGTAATTAACGCAAGAACAGTTTTAGCCTCTTTTAGGAAAACAAACTAACCAAATACAACACCCATCAAACCTAGGGTGAGTCTTCCTGAGATTTAGTAAGATGATCATTATGCAGACACCAAAGAGCTCCCTCCCAGGGTTCCTCTTCCGTCCTTAATAAGGAACAGGTATCAACAAATTTCTTAAAAGTTGGTGTAAATATACGTATAGTCAGCAAAGTGTCTATTGAGGTATAGTGCCTGAACCACTGAACCCCATGCTTTATAATCCTAACACATCATCACCAATCACACACTTCGGGAAAAATTAGCTTCCTTGAAACTTACAGAGGCTCTTACCTCTGCATCCAGTGTTAAAACTGAAAACCACATTTTTCCTGATTTCAAAGATGTTCCATGGCCTTATTGTTAGGATGATCTTTGATATCTGACTTAGTGCTCCAATTCCACAAGAATAATTTTGAGTAAAACATCCCATTTTTTACTTAAAATTCTTCTCACATTTATCATAGTTAGAAGGCAAGGATCAAAATGGCCTGCCATGGGACTGCTTTTACATAATCCCTGACCAGCATTCACAGCACCCACGGCTGGCAGAGAGAGCCATGCTTGCTGGCACACCCAACCTCAGTATGTCAGTATGCACCTGCGGTGCAGTGGCTGTCACCGGATGAGGCACTTTCCTGTACTCCCAACCCCCTGCTGCCAAGCCAGAGTTCACAACACTGGATATTTACACAAAATGATTTTAGTTGATTTGGCCAAAGCCAGCTGAAAAAATCAGTCTTCCCACTTGTATCTTTTAAAATGAGGGGCTGTAATTATTGTCACAGCTGTGGGTGTTGGCATTTCACATATATATGTATGTATGTGTGTGTATATATATATACATATATATATATATATAATTTTTATTGCTATTTTAAGTCCCAATAATAGTAAATTCCATCAGCTGTATGGATGATATATATTTAGGCCGTATTTACCCAATTTACATTGAGGATGAATATATTAACCACAGCACATTAAAGAGTGACCCAAGGATTTGTCACGGTTGGCCACTTTTTAAAGTATCTGATTACAGCAAGCAACGAGAATAAAAGCTGTGTAATGGTGAGGTCAAGCTTTTGAGCCCTTCTGCTCTGTGGTGTAGAATCAGACAAAAACGGATGGAAAAAATCACTGCCCGATTCAAACTCTCGCTTTGCTAGTCTTCTTCCATTCATTTCTGACCCAGCACTTCACTCTCTCAATTCTCTCAATATCGTTGCGTGCCCTTTCAAGAGTATGCCTTTGGCCTCCTTTCAAAACATTTGGATTTTCTCTTTGGGGAAAGACTGCCCCCTGCTGGTCTAGCTTCAGTCTTGGTCCACAGCCTCTCTCTCAATCTGGAGTGTTGGAGAGTAAGAATTTAAGTAAATTCACCACAATGTGAGCCTAGGCTCGGTAATCTGGCCAGCCTTGCTTTTGGGGAACTGTGACACTAAAACCATTATGACTATTGGCCCCTGCAGGAGCCGGGGAGAATGGCAGGCCCTTATCCTAGCTGTCCCCATCCTGCTCCCAAACTAACTACTGCTTTGGGCCAAGGCATCCGTCCTGCAACCTTCATTCTAACCAGTTCTCATTTCATGTCAATGTTGCTCAGACCTGCACCGTCACAGAATACTCAGAAGGTGAAAATGTAGAATAGACCTACAACCCTTAAATGACAGTAGCTGAAATCACTCCAAAATATGCCCAGTGGTCTCACTGTAGCATGGGATTTTCTCACCCCAATAGGCAACTCATGCTTTCAGAGTATAATCAAAGCATGTGGCGTTTTGGGGCCATATGCTCCAGGTTTCTATTTTGGAAGACTTTCAGCTGTGTTGCTTATGTACCGTATGTAAATTTATTCTTTTTAAAGTAAAATCACTTTTGTTTCATTATGACTTCTTATTAAATGCTTTAAAAGTCAGTGTTCTGTTTCCTTGGATGTTTTTCTTAACCTAGACCTTATTCTCTGGGTTCACTGAACCTGAGTTAGAAAGAGGAAACAAAAATAAGTGGCAGGCGAAATAGCTGTTGTCATAATCCAATCACATGCAAAGGTTGGCTAGCCTCATGGGGCCCACAGGTGTGCTTACCAGGAAATAAGTGGCATGCTGGCAGGCTTCCCTCCCCTCCACTAGCTCCTTGATACTGAGGACTGTCCTTTTACCATACATGGAGAGAAATGTCACTGTGTTGAAAGGTAAATGTTCTAAGTGTTGCTAGTTAAGGTAACTTAAAGAAATGAGTACACTATCTGCTGAACAAGACCCTAATTCAAACTCACATCGCTACAACAATATGTTCAGCCTCTGAGCCTCCCAAATTTGCTATTTGATACGGTACAGAAAGTTGACACTCATTTGCAAGGGCAAGTCTAGGACTCTATTTGTACTGCAGCAGAATGTATTTATCACCTAATATGCTGGGCACCACGAAGAGGGGAAGCTCCAACCTAGCCTGTGCAGTTGTCCTGGGAGAGAGAAGACATGGGCATAAAGAATTACAATTCAAGATCCAACCCATTAAGGCTGTCGGGAAAAGAGAACCAAGACGTGGGAAATGGGAGGGATGGGAGATCGCACGAGCCAGGCTTGAAGAGCAGATGGAGACGCACGAGGAGTGTGATGGGAAGTCGGTAGGAGATGATGACACCTGGTGGCTAGGAACAACTTGTCAGAGGCACTTCCCCAAACACCTCCAGCTCTAGAGGAGAAACCACACCAAACCCACGTCGGTGGCTGTGTACGAGTAACAGTGGCACTGGTGGAGTGAAGGATGAGCACGGGGCTATGGCTGCTGCAAAACCAAACCACAAGAACAGGAGTGTGAGGAGCCTCTTCCAGAGAAGGCGGCCTCCAGAGGTGATCTCAGACTCCGTTCATCATTCCTCGTGCAAATATCGTTGACAGCCAGAGGCGCTGCCCTCCCATGCAGTTGAAATCCTGTGGATAGCTTTTGACCCTACCAAAGCTTAACCAGAAGCCTTACTGATCAACAGCCAATTAATACACATTTTATATACATGTCGTATACTGTATTCTTTCAATAAAGCAAGCTAGAGAAAAGAAAATATTAAGAAAAGTGCATGAAAGTGAAAATATATTTACTATGCATTAAGTGGAAGGGGATTATCATGAAGTCTTCATGGCCGTTGTCTTCACCCTGAGTAGGCTGAGGAGGAAGAGGAGGCTGGCCTTGCTGTGTCAGGGGTAGCAGAGGTGGAAGAAAATCCCCGTGCAAGTAGATCTGTAGTTTAGACCTGTGTAGTTCAAGGGTCAGCAGTATTCACAGGCCACCTGGGCACCTTCCCCTTTGGCCGGCTCTGAATACACGGCTGCACTGCCATGCCATTCCATCCTGCTCTCAGCAGAGGTGACCAGCGGCTGGGACTTCATTCCAATGTCCTCTGTGCCCACTGCCTTCCTCGGTCTCTTTTGGCTCAGTTTCCTGACCTAGTTCTACCCAACTCCATTTTTAAAACATTTTACCACGACCCTGACTCTTCAGGGGACCCTTCAGTGCTCCTTGCCTCCCTTGAATGATTCTGAATGAGGGCTCCTCTTCTAAGAGGCTACCCAAAAACCGAGAATAGCAGCATACATCTCTCTCATGTGGACGATAGATGTTTTCCTTGTAGCTGCTTGTTTTGCTTTTTTTTTTTTTAACTTGAATTTTAAGTGCACAGAGGGGTTTGCTGTTTCAAAATCGTGGCAATTCTTCATTTCTGTAAACGTAAGTTTTTAATGAATGACAGTGTGCACACCATGCATTCGTTGTTTTCTGACAGTGGGGCACACCTGAAGTACAGACTTGAATATTTACAGAATGCACATTAAGAAGGGAGTTGAATGGGGGCCATGAAGAGAATGTGAGATTCTTAAAACTATAGCCACATGAGACAAGGGAGCTATATAAAGCCAAAAATTCGTCTTCCTTCTCCACGCCTGTCGACATGGCATGCAAACACAAGCAAAAAAAGCAAAGATGTAGCTAGGAGTTCCACTGTAATGCTTCTGTAAGGCACATTCTACACATCTGCTGGCCTTGCTTTCTCTCTCGCTGTGACATCAGGGTCCCCTTTGGTAGGAGTGCAAGCCAAGCGCTTCCCAACGCAGGTGTTCAAAGAATGGCAATGCCTCTTGAAGAAACAAAAAGTTAGCTGCAATCGTTGGGGAGCAGAGTGGCAATCAGGTACTGCTCCACTGCCAGTGCCTGCAAGTGTCCTATAACCCACCTGTGCCCACAAGCCTAGACAGGCGTGCAGCCTCCTGGGCATCTGGTCTGCATGTCTCTCAGTCACCTGAGAACCAGATGGGTGGCGCTATGCGTGGGCCAAATTACTCAAAGAACACACTAAACACCATCTTAGCCATGCCAATTAGGACACAGTAAAAAGATGCTGACGTAACTTGAAGATCAAAGAGGGATTTCCCTCACACTCCAGTACAAACCCCAGTCCAGGGCCTCTGTGTGCCCGGGGTACCCAGGGATCGCACAAGTCATCTCATTTCAGTGATCGCTCTCTTCCCCACAGAACGATTTGTTGATGGGACACCTCTGTCTGGCTTGTCTTGCTTCAGCTGCCTTGGTGTCACCCCAAGTGCTCCTTGTCTAAATGTTCTGCTGGAGACTCACAGCTAAGAAATCTCTCATGAGTCCCACCACCTCTGATGGGACTTCTCCGAATCCGTCCAGCGCCACATGTGGATGTTTACACGGCTCCCATTTATTACCACTGGCTTCCCATCAACCATAAGCAGGTTGAATTTTAGGAAAAGCGTGAGCATATCTTCATTCCTCGTGACAAAAAGCTGTGACTTGGGAAAACCGGAAAATTTCTTTTGCTACCAGGTTTGGCATCACTTACTCCACTCTTGTCTGTCCTGAAAGCTGGATTTACTTCGTGTCTGCCAAGTTCTCTGACTGCCGTGCT